TTGGGTTCTTTGGAATGTGAAGTTCAAGTTTTCAACTAGCAAGAACTTTTTTGTTTTCTCTTATGTTTGATTTTTGTTTGTTAAGAGGAATGTGTTGTGAGCTGTGACTGAGTGTATATATAGGGAGACCCGGAGAAGGGTTGCGGTCCGATGGGGCCCACAGGGGTCAGTCGACCGCTCGAGTGGGAGGTGGGTCCCACCGGGCCAGCTGACCTCTCGGTCGGGCTTCGGGCTGGGGTTAGCTTAAGTGTAGTTGTAATTGTATGTATGTGTAGGCTGCCTGGAAAAGGGTATGAAAAGGCAAAAGGGGTTGAATGTGTATTTTGGAGCCATGCCATGGGCTCTGATTTTTCTGAGAGTATTTTTCATTATTTTGATGTTCTTTTTTTTTTTCCCTTTGGGATATTTGTGGACAAATTGTATTTTTCTTATGGTTTTACTAAAATGAAATAATTTAATACATAGAAATAAAAAAAAAAAGTTCAAATTGTGGGTTATTAGTATTAAAAGGACTTTAAAACAACAAATGCAACAATATATTGTTTTACAAAAAATATAACACACAAATACTTGAACTAAAAAATATGGAAGATTCTACGGTTCCGTTATAGAATCATTCCGTCGGGGTTTGAAACTGTTAGATCAATTATTCATGAAAGTTATATGATGATCTAACGGTTACAAATCACGACAAAATAGTTTTATAACGAGACTGTAGCATTTCCAAAAAAATATATATGTACTTCGGAAAATATATCGAATAAGAACAATAAAAGAAACGCGCTTGATTGACTATATTATATTTATAATTCAATTGAGTACAGCTTTGATATCAAATAGCAGCCGTTGGAACCCAATTTGTCACTATCTAATACTAATTAAATATTGAAATGATATTCTCCAAGTCGTTCATGTCATTTTCTTTGCACCTTACTTATGTTCCTCGAGCTTAGTATCTCACAAATAATAGATAAATATATAAATAAATAAATAAATAAATAAATCTCAATTTTACAAACATTGTGGTTAAAAAAATATTTTACTTTGTTAGAAAGCATAATCTCAAAATATGGAAATTCTACGGTCATGTTACGGAATCATTCCGTTGGGATTTGTAACCGTTAGATCAATTATCCACGACGGTTACATGATGTTATAACGATTGCAAATCCCGACGAAATGGTTCCGGAAATGTAACATTTCCCCTAAAAATATCTCACAAAAAAGTGATTAACAATTATGAAATTATTTAAATAAACTTTGGCAAACAAATTCTAAACCAATAAATGTCATATGGCCCATATCACATTCTTGAATTTGTCCCCACAATCTAACAACCGATGAATTGGTGGCTTCAATTTGATTTAGTTATCTGGCAAAAAAACTTTTTTTTCAAAGGGCAAATTTACGATGGTTCATGAAAGGAAAGCTGCAAAAAATTGCAATCTTTCATTTGGAGGTTTCTTTAATATGTATTGAGGTGAAATTAAATTGCTCCTACATTTGGTGTTTGGTGGAATGATGTGACCAATGAAAGATGTAAGGAACGGTTCTTAATAAATTGAGTTTTATTTTTTCCCACCATTATTTAACACCCAAAAAAATATCTCCTTGATATTTGTTATTATGTCGTAAAATATTATTATGTCATAAAATACTTCGAAGTAATGAAGATTATACAAAAAATTTATTATATCTAGTTGGCTACTTCTAGGAATGCAAACCAATTGAGTGGCTAGCGAGCACTCGAGTCAAAGTTCAGGTTGAGCTCAAGTTTCACAAAGCACGAGTCGAGTGCCAGTACTTCATACTAAACACGAACTTGTATCTTATAAATTCAAGTGCACGATGAACGGTTTGAGTTTACATTTAATTCATTTAATTATCTATAATTTGAGCAAAATCTCTTTATATATAATGCATAGTTGTCTGAGCCTATGTATCAATTTATAGTACTTCGTAATTTTTATGTGTCGAATTCTTGTGCTCTGCAATTCTATGTCTTAGTTTTTAGCGCTTGCAAGTAGTCAATGTAGATATGAATTTCTATTACTATTCTTTGTATGTTCCAATGCTCAATTAGAGTCGAGCTAGAGCATCTACACTGCATTGAGTCTAGTCTTGCCTATGTGACATGTAAGTAAACCCAAGTCTTGGATAACATAGATAAAACTATGAGAAATTAACAAAACCACTACAATACAAAGAGACTATGTCTCTACTTGGGTTTAATTTAGCAACCAAAAAGCTATTCATTCAACACTGTATATGTACCAAAACAAATCGGGAGAATTTTTTTGAGCCAATCAAGGAAATTAGCAATCAAAGCAGCTCATTCATTTGACACTGCTCCAACACTGTGTTCTTCCCAAATAATGAACTTTTGCGCACACAGCACACACTCACACACACAAAGCATAACCTCAACCACATACTGTACAATCACAAGAAACAGTTAATTTGGAGACTACAGACTAAGATCACAACAACAATAGTAAAAAAGAAGCAAATAGATGAGAGTTTTACTATGGAAGTCAGAGTTGAAGCCCCGTACAACAAACAAACGGTGTCAAGAAAAGATTTCCCGGCGAGAGTTCCATAGTCGTAGGCGATGGCGAGAGGCCATTGAAAAATCAGCTAGACCAAAACAATCCCTAGGAAGAAGTGCGGCTTCACGGTGACAAGTAGTCGTCGTACACCTAGGCGCGCCAGCTCTTGAGCTCCGACAAAAATGGCCGAAAGAGGTGTTCCGGGAGGCACGACAGCGGTGAAGAGAAAGAAGATGACTAGGGTGGTGTCGAGAAGCTTGCAGAATACGCCCATTCACGTGCGATGGCTTGGTATATGCCACCTTTTCTCCTGTTTTACGAAAATGCACCAACATGGTTAGTTTTTTGTCGATTATATATTTAAGTCAAATGTATAGATACTATTTAAAAAAAAATGTATAGATATAATTTTTAATAATGATGATATATCTCATTTTATAAATTTAGTTGTTAATAAAAATGAGTAATATAATTATAAAATATTTCATTTATATATGAATTACGATATGAATTGTACAAGTTTAATGAATAACATAAATTTTTATAAACTAAGGTATCGCGATCAATTATTAAATGAGAAAATATTAAAATTGTTGTTTTACCAATTGATTACACGATTTTAACCGATCTTTATGCCAAGTATAATGTTTAACATTTAGTGTGATTTATAGTTAATTAATTTACTAGTATTATATGATAGAATAGTAAAAAATGTATTATTATATTTAATTAATTTAAAGTATAATGTTTAGTTTCCATTTCTAGATGAAAATAAATGGGTTTAAAAAATTTGTGGATTAGATTGCCTTTCTCACTTCAAAGTGATTTAGGGCATGATTGTTTATGAAATATTTCATCCAAAATATTTCATTTTGTTAACTATGGTTAAAGTTGAAAAAGTAGTGTGGTTAATTATTAGTGGAATTTAAAAAATATATTAAAATAATATTTAAAATAAAATGATTAAAATTGATTTGATATAAAGTAGGAGATAAATGATTGGAAATGATTGGTAGTTAAAATTATGTGAGTGGATGAATAGTGAATTAAAGTTGATGTGATGTGTAAGAATGATTGGTTTGTATTATTTAATTGTATGAATAATATTAAAGATAGTGGGGTTGAGGTAAAGTTGAGTTAGATATTTGAGTTGAAATATTTGGATGAAATATTTGATAAACAATCATGGCCTTAAATTTTTCATAAATCCTCGAAGACAATTCTTTTTCCATTTCTAAAGCACTCACAATACTTTGGGTCGTTTAGAAAAAAATCACATGTCATTTAGAAAATAGATAGAACTGTCAAAACGGGTCATGGCCCGCGGGCTGGCCCGTCCGCCCACCTAAATTGACGGGCTTGGGCCTTTGCTTGGCCAACCCATTCAATCGCGGGCCGATTTAGCCCGCCCCGTTTGGCCCGCGGGTTGGGGCAGGATGGACCGCGGACCAACTCGTTTTTTTAATGACAAGTATTGTATATTTGTATTTTTTTTTTTTTTTGCCTTGAATTTAATTGTATAATATAAATAGGAAATAAAAATGTAAATTTTTTTTATGACAAGTATTGTATTCTTTTTTTTTTCTTGAATTTAATTGTATAATATAAATATGAAATAAAAATGTAAAGACGTGAAGAATTTGAGCAAGGTGGAGATTTGATGGAGCTGACAAAACATTGGTCGTCCACTTTTAAATGTCCCAATCCAATCACTTTCCTTAATATAGCATAATAGCAACAACAATTATTAAAAATAGCCGATTATTAAAGAATGAAAGTTGCATTTTACCACAATTAAATCACAATATACGGTCACCATCGAGATCAAAATGTCGTACAAGTAATTCTTATTCAATTCCCACTGTTTTTTTCCTTTTATAGTTTGAATTTAAAAACCAAAATTACATTATAAATTGCAAAAAATAATAATAACAATAAAAAAACAGTAAGTAAAAAAAAAAAAAAACTGCGGGCAGGCCGATTTGGCCCGCGGGCTAATGCGGGCGGGCTATGGGCCATGAATTTTCCAACCCGTAGAAATACGGACCATTTTGGTCTGCCCCGTTTGAATCGCGGGCCAACGCGAGCCGGACCGGACCGGCCCGTTTGACAGTGCTAGAAATAGACCTAGTCTATAAAAAAATGTTTCACAATGCAATTAAAAATGAACCTAATCTAACTAATGTGACACTAGAAAAAAGAGATTAAGTCCACACTTGAGTCTATTTTAGACCCAAGTGCAAACCCACCTAGTCATTAATTGTTCACAATTTTCTTTTTCTTTTTAATAGGCAAAACACATTTTTTTATATGCATTTATTATTACTATATTTTTATTGGTTATTTAGTATTCTAGACCTAGTATTTTTTTGTTTCACATTGGATATATTTTAGATTTTTTAGCTTGGGTTTGTCCATGTTATTATGGACTTAAGTCTATTTATTTGCCACATATGCAAAAAGAGACCCAAAACATTATTAGCGCTCTAAGAAAAGGAGCGATGCTACATTTACGTTAGGGAATTATTCCGTCGATATTTGTAACAGTTGGAGATAATTGATCCGGTTACAACCCGGATGCAATGGTGAAACATTTTCCTAAGAAAAGGTAAATCCAACAAAAAAAAAAAAAAAAAAAAATAAAAAAATCTGATAGTCTTCAAATTTTTCGTCAAAGATAAAAAAATAAATAACAAAACAAGGAAAACCTCAAATATCCCATTTCAAAAAATTTCCAAACCCTAGACATCAAGAAGAAGAAAGAAAAATGAGTGAAAGGCCCGTGCCCAGAAGGGAGAGCCCCTGGGGAGTGTCCGATGGCTACCACCCTGAACCCAAAGCCCACCGGTGCAATGATCGAGCTGAAGATGTGATCTATGTAAGCATTTTTCATTTATCCTTTTAGCAAAAATAAAAATAAAAATTGATCTCTGTGTTTTATGGGGTTTTACTGCATAATTTTGAGCTTAGAATTTGGCCAAGGTGAAAGATTCTTAGCTGTAAATCTGCATAATCAGTGCGAATCTGCATAGTCAGTGCACCGACAAATGCCCTCATTAGTTGTTGTAAGAAAAGTTGGTGCCTTTATGTGGAGTGGTATTGTTGTGTTTCTGTAAAGATTGAATCTTTTTGGCATTTCGAAGTCAAGATAGAACAGGGCTTGAGAGAATTTGGGCAGTTGTTTATAGTAGTCGTGTGAGGTCGAATACTAGAATGTGTTTGTAA